TGAACAAGATGATCTAATTGAATGCTATGAAGAGATCACAAATATTGCTAAAAATGAAAGTGTTGTTAAAAATGAAAAGGCGTTTAAACGGCACCTAAAATCTGCTGAAGGTGGGAATTCTCAAGGACAATGTAAGGTTGGTTGGTGTTATGAAAAGGGTATAGGCATTGCTGAAGATAAGAATAAAGCGTTTGAGTGGTATTTAAAATCTGCTGAAGGTGGGAATTCTCAAGGACAATGTAAGGTTGGTTGGTGTTATGAAAAGGGTATAGGCATTGCTGAAGATAAGAATAAAGCGTTTGAGTGGTATTTAAAATCTGCTGAAGGTGGTAATTCTCATAGTCAAAGTACCATCGGATATTATTATGAAAAAGGTATATGCGTCACTAAAGATGAAAGGAAAGCATTTGAGTGGTATTTAAGATCCGCTAAAAATGGCAACACACAAGGACAAAATCATCTTGGATTATGTTATGAAAATGGTATAGGTACTGCTAAAGACGTGAAGAAAGCATTTGAATGGCATTTAAAGTCAGCTAAAGGTGGTAATTCTAATAGCCAATGTAGAGTTGGATGGTGCTATGAAAATGGTGTAGGTACCGTCAAAGACAAGAGTAAATCATTTGAATGGTATCTAAAATCGGCAAAAGGAGGCAGTTCTCAAGGACAATGTAATATTGGATATTATTATGAAAAGGGTATACATGTTGCTAAAGATGAAAAGAAAGCATTTGAATGGTATTTAAAATCTGCAAAAAGTGGAAGTTCACAAGGACAAAATAATCTTGGAATGTGTTATGAAAAGGGAATAGGTATTGATAAAAATACAAATGAAGCATTTATATGGTATCTGGAATCTGCTGAAAATGGTAATTTTGTTGGACAAAATAATGTTGGTGTGTGTTATGAAAATGGAACTGGTGTTATCAAAGACGAAAATAAAGCGTTCGAATGGTATTTGAAAGCTGCTAAAGGCGGTAATTCCTATGGACAAAATAATGTTGGATGGTGTTACCACAATGGAATAGGAATTGGCAGGGATGAAAGAAAAGCCATTGAATGGTATATGAAATCGGCTGAAGGTGGAAATTCCCGTGGCCAATGTAATCTTGGATATTGCTTTGAAAAAGGTATATGTGTTGCTAAAGATGAAAAGAAAGCATTTGAATGGTATTTGAAGTCTGCAGAAAATGGAAATTCTTATGGACAATGTAATCTTGGATATTGTTATGAAAAGGGTATATACGTTGCTAAAGATGAAAAGAAAGCGTTTGAGTGTTACTTAAATTCAGTTGAAGGTGGCAATACCTTAGGTCAAAATAATCTTGGTTGGTGTTATGAAAATGGTATAGGTACTGTTAAAGATGAAAAGAAAGCGTTCGAGTGGTATTTAAAATCTGCCGAAGGTGGTAACTCTAAAGGACAATGCAATCTCGGACTATGTTATCAAAATGGCATTGGTGTCAACCAAGATGAAACGAAAGCATTTGAATGGTATCTAAAATCTGCAGAAAATGGTAATTCTGTTGGACAAAACAATGTTGGATATTGCTATCAATATGGAATAGGGATTTTATGCGATGAAAAAAAGGCATTCACTTGGTATTTGAAGTCTGCTAAAAGTGGTAATTTTAAAGGACAATATAATCTTGGATTATGCTACAAAAAGGGTATAGGTGTTGAGGTAGATGAAGAGAAAGCTTTCTATTGGTTTTCAAAATCTACAGATAACTGTGTAAATAATTAATAAAGGTGTCAGCGCATGCAATGTTGAGAATTCATGATCATGAGGCCATAATTAAATATTTGTGTACAAATTAAATTTCTTACCGTTCTCCATTAAAAAATTTTAGTATACAGTAAAATAATATATGCATCCTCATATACGCATAATATATATTTGTCAATTAAAAAAATCCAAAAATCCAAATTTATTAATATCTTATAGTTAAAGTAAATTTTATTTTGTATTTATTTCTTTATTTCTTTATGTATTTTTTTAGATAACAGATCAATAGTTTGAGACCTTGATCTAATATATGGTTCTCATGAATTTCAAACACTCAGGCATATGTATTTCTTTATATAAATATAAATATATTGCTTTTTGCTTTGCGAATGTTAAAAATAACAAAATATAAGATTTAAAGCAATAAATTATCATTAGCGTTAAAGTTAAAAGAGGTGCATGTTCTATACCAAAATTTTGAGGAATCTTTTTATAAAAATAAAACTTGAGTTATTGGCGATTTTTCAAAAAAAAAATGAGAATTTCACGTTATACCTTATCTTGCGATCTAATTGGCTAGATTGCCATAAGTCACGTGCTCACACTTTTTTGCAGAAAATGCTACGTACACAACATTTCAGGTGATTATGTACACAATAAGGACTAGAATTAGCGTTGGAGTTAAGGTTAGGGCTTATAAGCACAACATTGGCTAGATTTATCACCTTAGTGCTTGCCGTGACTAGAGTTTTACGCAAATTCGGGTTATTACAAGTAGTGTTAACAGATAAGCACATTTTCCATCTAAACAAATTCACAAAAAAAATTTATATGCGCTTTATATATACGGAAAGCACTAAACATTTTTAATAAGGGCGCACAAAGTTGATTTTTCGTTTTGCATTACCTGGTATTTCAAAAGTCCGGTCGGTCGTTTAAAAATTTTTTTTTATTTAAAGTTATAATTCTTGAGTTTTCATGTAACCGGGCTCTTTCAAAGACATTTTACTTGTTCAGGTGGATCGCAAAATTAAGCTACCGTTACCGAATTTACCAAGTAAATTGCCAAAAAGTATATATAAAATTTTCAAATAGTAAATACTGGTATGCGCAAAACGAATTCTTTTTACCATACCTCCCGAAAATTCCCGACGATCACGCTAGTGAGTTCGGTCAGGCCATGACCGGTCATGATTGGTAAATAATCGTAACCGATATTGACCGGTCAGAGGCGATTAACCGATCGGTCAAAATTATGACCGATGCCAGATTTTTAATTTTCTGGCTAATAAATGATAAATAGTTATTGGATGTGTAGCATCCAATAACAGTTTTATTTTGCAGGAGAAATGAGAATACCGTGATCCGAAGGACCACGGATGATCATTTTGGATGACAAATAAAAGAAGTATCTGGCTTTGAAATTAATGTGCTAACCTGAGCCCGAAGGGGCTCAGGGTGTCAAGCACATTAAATTCAAAGCCAGATACGCTGTAACGGATTTCTTTTGATCCCTTTTTAATAGAAGATAATTCTAAAGTATCTTTCCAAATGTTCATTCATCGTTAATGCTGGAATTCTAAGTTTCACTCAGATTCCATAAAAGTGTGGCCATGACCCGGAATCCAGCATAACCCTAATTGCTGCTCTCCAAAAACCGATGATGACACCCGTTTCAGATTAACGTCATCACAACGTTTGTCAAAGCACTTTATAAGTACTTAAAAAAAAGCATTTATTGAATATAAGGTAGGTTGAAATAGTACTAAAATATGCTGATTAAAGTATTTATAAAGCAATTAAATAATTAAGTATTTAATAAATATAAAATTTAATACTTAATTAGTATTTAAAATTTTAGATACTTTTATAAATATAAGATTTAAGTGCTTATTTAATATTATATAGTATTTAATTAATATAAGGTTGTGTTTGGTACAACGTCATGATGGTAATTAGATATTAGACCTTACCCGAACAGGGCGGCCATCAAAATTTACTGTCATGTGAGTAGCGTCGTCTAGGTTCAATATGCACAATATGCAAATACTGTATGCAATGCAGGGTCATAACAATAGCACTATAGATCCAGTACTGATTCGTCTGCTACAATTACAATTACGGCAGATGGCGCTACTCACATGACAGTAAATTTGATGGCCGCCATGGTCGATTCGAATTATTATAGTAAGTAATGGGTTGAAGGGGTAAGATCACAAGCTTCGCGCCATAATGTCTTGGATGGATTTTTCTCAAGAGGCATGAATTGATTTTGGCAAGCATTTTAATTATTATTAGGGTTTTCTTTACTATTTACTATCTTTGCTAGAACTTTTTGGGCCTTTCGATCCAAGATGATTTAATTACGTTTGTCTTTTTATGATAATACTTCACTAATTGTTTCATCTTATTATTTTAGGGCACTTTCAAGGAAAAAATTCGGTCCTTCCCCTGAGCAGATATCCATTGTCTAATCATTGTTAGTAGTGCATTCCATTGATACTCATGAGTGTTTCATGGTTTGTCCCATGAATCAAAGGACAATTATAATATGCAGGGAAACAATTGAAGACAATTACATAAATATGTATACACCTGATCCACTACAATATCTGCTCAGGAGAAGACCAGAATTTTTGCTTGAAAGCGCCCTTAGATTATTTATTCTTACACTCGATTGTTCTGCCATCTCAACACTCTGAAACACCATTGTCATCCTTTTGATTCATACCCTATTCGGTAGAGGCGCCTTATTCACGTTCGATCATAGGGCAAATGCATGCATGCATCTATCCTCGATATACGATCACCAATTGTAACACCTGCAGTCACAATCAATTTGATTACGTAGTGGGTTCACAAAATTCTTTGAGTCTGGATGTAACGCCAGTGTTTTTCTTTAAAAAACTATCGCCTGTGACACAATTTTTCAACCATAAATCTGCTTCTGCACACTAATCAAAATGTTCCTTGTGGAATTTTACTAAATAATATCACGAATATAACTCTAATCCTAATATATCATGTTAAGCAAACCAATTTTATTTAACGAAATTGGATTGGATATAATCTGTCCAATTTAAGTAACAGTATCCGGAATTAATACATACCAAATCAATAATTACTGTAATATCCTTCGATACTACCAGGGCGGCCATCGATTGTACGGGTTATGTGGGTGGGTCAAAATTTCATAGCAGGTGGCACTACCCACATGACCCGTAAAATCGATGGCCGCCCTGGTCGTATCGGCAAGGCATTGCAATCACAATTACAAAATATCTTTTTTTATGAGAGTTGGCTTATGTTTCCTCAAACTTTCCGCGATACCACTAAAAGTATTAACTAAAACTATCTCATCAATAGCTCTTGTAAATTGACATTTTAATGCACTCGAAGAGGTTTCTTTGGGAAGATAACTTTGTGCTATATTTGCCATTAGCTGTAATGATTGGCAATTTATACTACTACTGAATAAAATCGTGTTCAAAAATATTGGTGATCTATAAAATTACAAAGAAATATGTGTGAAGCTAAAATTATAAATATTGTAAATATAAAACGAAATTAAAATGCTATTTACCCTTTTTTTTGATTCTTTGAGCAAATTTTGTTTAACTCGTCTTTGGGTACTCCGCACTCTCCATCTGAACAGAACAAGACAATATTTGTCCTAAAAAGAATTTAATTTTAATATAAAAACTAACATTTAAAATAAAATGTAACCTATTTATATCGATATACGTACTTCATAGGATTAAAATATTTTTCGATTATATGACCGGCCTTAAGAATTGCGGCATTAAAATTTGTTCCTACCCTTGAATTGTGTTGAAGCATTATACGGAGGAGACTTTCGGGATCGTTCAAAGGCTGATTTTCTATAGCAATTATTGCTTCAAAATCAAAAAGTATCAAAGAAACTGTATCTCGGCAAACTGTCTCATTATATTGAGCAGCTTGCGAAGACAGGCGCGCCTTCATAAATGAATATGCCTATAATGTTTATCGAAAATAAATAGATTATAATGTATAGTGTAAATAGAATTTTTTTTTTTGTTAAATATAAATTCTCACCGCATTATAAACAGCACCAAGTCGGTTATTATGACGTTTAACAAGATCGTTATAAATTGGTGTTCCCTGTATGGGTCTTTTGTCTGTTCCTTGCATTGAAGAAGATCGGTCCAGGACAAAAATTATATGAAAGTCAACTTCATACTTTGATGGATTTTCGCAATTGAAATGCTTTAAGAAAAAAATATAATGTGATAATTTTATTTATATACGCGAGTTTCTTAATTATTTTAACGAAATAATATTTTTTATGCTTTGAAACTTACGTGACCATCAAGTGAAATATATCCACATTCATTTGGTGGAGTTTTCGATGGATCAAGGAGATCATGGAAAAGTGGCATTTCACAATATGATTTAGAAGGATTGTCACTCGTATTGTGCTTTTCGTCTCGACATTCATGATCACATTTGGAAAATTCTTGCTGCTCTTGAGCGCTGTATGGATCTAGATTGATCAAATGGCAAATTAGAATATCTTGAGTGGATTACATTATTGAGCACATATTGTACCAACTAGGTTAATGTTAAAATACCCTTAAAACCAGTACGTTCCCAAAATAGTCGATGGGACATGAAGTCTTTTGCTTTCTCAGGATTAGGATGAATGCGACCTATAAGACACAATGTTATAGTTAGTTGGAAACTTTAACGTTTGAAAAAGAGGATAATGTATGTACTGTACCATTGATATGCTGTAGATCCTGATTTAGTTTACATTCGTCTACATTTTGCAATAATCAATATGTCGATGCCTGCCTAATTCTTTGCAATGCTAAAAAGATATAAAAGTATGAGCAAGATGAAAATAGTTAAAAATTATAATAATATGATCACGTACTAGAGTACACAATACAAAGGTCCCTTCATCACCGGCTTTTAATCTATGCCTGTATGCCGAATTTAAAATGAGTTATTGAAAAAAAATTTTACATTTTAAAACGCATTCAATTTATTCGAACATACCCTCCATATAAAAATTCATTATCATTCTCTTCTGTAGTAAATTCAGTTTGCATCATGTTTCCATGACGTGTATCGTGTAAGCGTTGTGAATGTCCAAAGGGTAAATCACACTGAGAACATCGAATATTTTAGTAAAACGATTAAAAACGATTTTACTCTTTTATTTTTTTTTTAAAAAAAAAAGGTTAAGCCTTACATAGTATTCACAAAATTTGCCTATTATCAGCAAAAGTAAGGTTTTAAGGATTTTTAAATGTTTTTTAAATCATCAATAACAAAATTCAACAAATTTAATACTTACATTTTACATCACAATAATGCATACCCCCATGAGAATGTATGCCAGCATGTTTAAATGAATCCGGTGGAATTTTTTTGCTACATGGTAGACTTTCACTTATTTGAATATACTGATAGAAAAAAAAAATATTGAACATCAAAATAGTTTTTAATTACGGATTAATGGAATAATATAAAGAAGTCTATCCCGATTACTTTAGTAAAGGTGATTGAAGTATCTTTAACAAGTCCTTGATAAGTTTCTTCTTGCTTTTTTGGTTCAAGTTGAATTCTGCATACTCCAGGTTCTTTACATAATTCCTTACACTGATGTTCTTTTCCACAAAAATGATTCACCGCAGGGTCTGAGAGAGCATGAAAGTGGTCTTTGCTTTTACAATGCCACTGGCAACCATTAACTGGACATTGAATTGGACATGTTCCGATCTCACACTAAGTTAATGAAATGATATCAATTAATCTTTCTTAATATGAATATGCATTTTTGTATGCAATTTTAATATAAAATATTATACCCGATGTTTATCATGTTGTTCTTCGCACGGTATGAAACATTTGTTAGGGCATCTGTATCCACCATTTTGCGTAACTAGCGAACATGGAGCTCCACAATAGTGGTGCTAATATATGAAAAAGCAAAATCAGTCCACGTATATTATATTTAATGAAATTTTGAAAAAATCATATTACTGTAGATTGACACAGATGATTTTCATCTTCATGACCAATTTTCTTTGAGCATTTTATCTGACAGTTTTGTTTATCCGAAAAACAACAAGGCTTTCCGCATAGGTGATTGGCACCAGAGCACGCATGCATGCCTGCAAATTTTAATCACATAAATTTAATAAAATAAAATTTGTATATAATTATTAAATTGTTATGTTATTTAGCTAACCTTCATGACCAGCTTTGTAGTTACATTTTGGAATAAGATTTTCGTTAGTGTGTGCATCGACAAATTGGCAATTGGCGTGACATTCATGATTTGTCAAACAGTCATGTTCTCCTTCGTGATCTCTATTGTTTAAACATCTAAGATAACAATTATTACATGTAAGGCCACATAATTCCCAGAATGATGTAAGCATTGCTGTTTCTTGTTCTATCGCATATCGGCAAATCATAACAT